GGTATGTACCATACTGTACTAGTATGATCAATAGAAATGGCAAGAAAGCTAAGATGTTGCCTTTGCACCCTGAATTTATTAAACAGAATGCTAAGAAGATTCTTAGTGCAGATACTTGAGTGCTTGCTAAGATGGCTTCAGGGTTCAGGCGAACTTAGAGACATCTTAATATCAAGGGTACTGGCTAGTACCGTACGAGTATTGACGCAAAGGCATGCCGAGTACCGAACTGGACCAATAGACTTAGACTTGTGCGAAAAGATTTAAAAGCATTTTTTCTTCAGCCCTAACAAACAAGGAGTCCCATCAAGCATGCGGTACTACTAGTACCAGTAGTAGGTACCCTCTTCGTGATTCGGTTTTCTTCAGCGCTTGTCTTCCTTGGCCACATCTTCCGTGTTGCAGACTGTATCGTTTAGTCCCGGCTGCACGCTAGAACAGCAATAAAATTGCTGATTTAGGTTTTGAGTTAATGTATCAAACCACACACTCTGCGCTATACTTTTCAGCGCCTACCCTCTTCCACGCATGTGTTCTACACTCTCTGTTAGCATGTTGATAGCTGACAAGCTCTATTTTGGTCTACGTACATGAGGATTGAGCATTGGGAGCTTGTCGGCCATTTTATTGCTGTTTGGCGCACTGCCGTTCAGTGCTGAATGTACGTGACTGAGTCATTTTTCGCTGTTTGCAGCAAAAAGAAAACAGCACTGTTGGCAGTTGACAATGACGCTTTCCTCCGACGAAAGGAGCACTGCAACACCAAGGAATAGCAGCAGGACAGCCAGGAACAATGGAAGTAGCTCTGGTAGTGGTCGAAGGACTCCTGTGCGTAATGTGTTGACGCGTGATTCACCATCAGTCTCAGAAATGACATCACCATCTGTCCATGTTGAAGATTCCACGGCGACAGACACATCCGGCGTTGATCCTTTGCAATATGAAGCTGAATATGACACTGCTCGATACCAAGAGAATGTAGGAGATCCCGAATCTGAAGATGAAGGCGAAGGCCCTGGCAATAATACTCTTTTCAGGGAAGTTTCGAATGAGCGAAATGAACATCAACAGGAAAATCTCACCGCCATTCCAGATGACACTGACTTCATTCCATCCAATGAGCAATCCAATCCTGCTGTGCCAGCAAAGAATATTGAAGGTGCTCTTCCCAACTGGGAAGCGCCTGGTCCTCCTGATGATTGGAAGCCACCAAAAGCCAAAGCTGAAAAGGGAGAACCAAAATTTGAAGATGTTGATAATCCAGGCGGATGGTCACCATTTGTGTTCACGTCCAAATTCAGGAAGGCGAGGAACCAGCAAGACAAGAAAACATATGCGTATCATTCCCTCCCAACGGGAGCAACTCCAGTCCCCTTGGATCCAGGAACAGGAAAGAGAGTTCACAGTGGATTCGAATTTCATTATGACGGTTGGGATGGTAGGCAGCAGGATCCTTCGTTTCCTCAATACCGCAATGGTGCTAGCAAGGAAAACATGTTTCCAAAGGAGAGAAAAGGATGTCTTGATGCAATGAAACTAGAAGCCCTAGGCCTGAACAGTGACAGGATGTTGGAGACAGATGGTTGTCCTGATGCTCTCTTCTTTTATCAATTGCTTTTGCCCATTTGCGATCCTTCAAAGTCTTCTGTCAAGGGTGATCCAAGGAAAGGATTCTATCACAAGGTCTCCCAGTGGTCCAACCTGTATGGAATGGGTGAGCTCGAGCTTGGCAATGGATATGGACACGACTTCAAGTGCACAAATCCTTGTGAGATTTTGCGTTGGGATGGAGTTGTGGTAATGGATGGTGTCCATGGTGGAAGCTCTGGTGCTCTGATGCGTCGCTTCGACCAAAGAGAAGGTAACACAGCTCACTGCCCCTTCATTCGCTCAAGTATGTCTAAAACAAGGTGGCTAGAAATCAAGAGAGTCATCAAGCTGTGCAATAACTCGAAGGTCCCCAAGAAAGGCGAACCTGATTATGATCCAGCTTACAAGTTTGACTACATCTACAATGTTCTGATCCATAACTGCAACTCAATTACAAAGGAAGCTGGACTGGATTTGGCAGCAGATGAGACGTCTTGGCCCTTTGGTGGTTGGGGTGAAGTCCAAAGTGGTATTGTTGCTTTGATTCTGAATAAACCTCACATCCACAAAGGTGGACAGATTGTCTTGTCAGTGGATGTTGACAGGATTCGCCCAAGAGCTTATGTTCACCGGCACAAGCTTCATGAAAAGCCTCCAAACTGGCCTTGTACCAGTGGTCAACTCGAAGCACGGAAAATCTTAGATCAGTTGTACTCATTGACTATTGGCTATGAGATTGGCGTGAACAACAGCCCTCAGAAGGTCTTTTCCGATTTACCACATGTCACTTGGGATAACCACTTCTCAGGGGATAACGTCCTCCTTTATGCTGGCATGCAAGGGTTTGGAATGACAATGACATGTCGCCGCGACAGATTGCCCAAACCAGTGCCTAACCAGTACTTCCATAAGGAAAAGACAGTGGTGAATGCCAAGTAGAAATCAGCCAGGTTTGAACGTCCTATTGTCCTCACAAAATCAATCTCAAACCAATCAACCATTGTTCATTGCTCCTTTCAGTCAACATCTTCATGCAACATCTCTACTGTAAATGCTCTCAACCAGTGTAGCTTGTACGCTCACACCAGAGAACGGGGAAGAGGTTCCTACAAGAGACGATGGGCTATTGAAATGAAAGAAGCAAGGGAGCTCTATTTAAAGACGTATGGTGGTGTTGACCGATTAGATCACATGATACAAAACTGCAACCTCTCATACCGGTAAGCTGATCTATGTCATTGCTATTAAATTTTATTGTTGTTGCTCCATTATCCCATATTCTCAGTTGTTCTCCCTTGTTGCATTAAGGTCATGGAAGTACTGGCATGCTCCGATGCTGCATGCTAAGGCAATGGTGGTCGTTGTTGCTTATGACATGTACTTGGAATGCTGTGAAGGCAACCTCAAGGAAGACTGGAAAGTCAACAAAGCAGTTGACTTTTGGCGATTCAGAGAAAAGCTTGCAAAACAGATGTGCCAGTACAATCCAACCAATCGAAGATACCCTGGTGATGAAAACTTCCGAGTTGCCACAAAGCAGCCAATCTCAAAAAGGAAATCTCCTCCAAGATCTGCCTTGAAGCGAAAGAGAGCAACCACTCCTGATTCGACCGCATCAGCTCTGACACCACAAGACATTGTCGATTGCAAAGGCAGATTGTGTGGCCGGCTGGATGGCCTTTCCTCTCATATGGAAACTATTAAAAGACTCCCAGACCAAAGAACAAAGGTGTGTGTTGTTTGTGGCAATAACTGCTCCCATGTCTGTGGCAAGTGTGGCAAGGCAATGCATTTCACAGAGTTGCAGAAAAGGAAGAATAAGGAGCTTGTTGTTGATGACAGCATCACTTGCTTTGTCCGCTGGCATGATACCTCTTTCTTTGGCTTGGCAAAAGAAGATTGGGAACTTCGAAGCATCAAGAAAAAAGAATGGTGCTTTCCAAGCAAACAGATCCGCTCACAGCATGCAGAGGCAATGGTGGATCTACACAATGATGCATTGAAAATCCGAAACAACAATGCTCCTCCTCCTGTTGCGGCACGCAATAAAGATAATACCCAATCTCGGAGCACTGTTACTCAAGACGACGATGATACCGATACCGAAAACGACAATATTCCTTCGAATCCAAATAATCGCATCCTGTGATCTGCCGTTGCAGTTAGATTGGTTATGTTGGATTGGTTGTAGCGAATTACTGACAGCATCATCATTGTGATGTTATCAGAGCCAATCAAGAGATCGGATACTAATGCCTAGGTTGCTGCTGCTTCCCATGCCTCCAATTCTGTCCTCTTGGCTTCTTGTCTCTCAAGACGATTGTGAGTGTTATTGTTGCTGCTGCTGAGTGGATGTGGACTGTTGACAACAATGACGTACGTCGCCCACCATGGCGCTGCTGAGTTGTTGCGTCGACGACAAGGGCCGTCGCCAGCAGCGCTGCTGGCGAGCTGAGTGGTTGACGGCCGTCGGTTTGTTGTCGAACAGATCGATCGAACGTTGACAACAAGAGATGAGTGGTTGTGGACTGTCGACAACAACGATGGTTGTCGTTTGTGTTGTTGGCAACAACAGATGAGTCATGCAATACACGGCTCTTAGCCTTATTCGCGACTCGATCCTAGATAGGGTTTGAGTTCGACTCATGACTGAGTCTCTCGTGAATAGTCATTTGAGACAGGGTTCTCAATGACCGCTCTAGTCATACTAGGTTGATGATGAAACATCGCTCTAGATATTTAGCCAGCGTGGAGTACTTCCACGCTACTAGATCCATGCTAGACGAATCTTCCACGCGTTCCGTTTTAGGATCGTGGAGATACGTAGGATTACTACCGCAACCTACTCTATCACACTTTATAGTCTCCCGCGGGAGACCAGATCTACGATCCCTTGATGATGATCTCTCTCGTTGATTAGTTTTCATAGCTTTTTAATCTCTCTCATAACTTTCATTTCTCTCAAACACAAAACACTCGAAAGATCTTTACACTAGCTTTTAGCGTAGTGCAGTCAGTTTGTGTAGAAAGAGTACCAGCTGCTGCTGTAGATGATGTAGCTGAATAAAGAACATCTATTGAAACAGCAACCATGTCGCACCATCTGTTTTGGCTATTCTTTCTACTGTTCTATTGTACCAGTTTGCCTCTGTAGATTTTTTAGTGGACACACTTTTGACCAGCTATTTCATTGCCGGTACATGAAGCCAAGACCAAACGATAACTGCCAATGCTGTCAGTTTGTAGCCGACATGTTTGACACTCCACTTGTGCAGGTTCGGCAATGCCTTGATTGCACCATACCCAAGACACGCCATTCTAAACTTACTCAGCTTCGGCTGCACTTGCTATACACTCTGTTACCTCACCTTCGGCAGTTACGATGAGTAGACGAAAATCCTGGCAATTCAGCCAGCTATAGTTATGACAGTGTTGATTTGTAGCCGGCACCTTTGACACTCCACTGCTTGTGCAGGTACGGCTGCACCGCCTTAATTGCACCGTACCGAAGACATGCCATTCTAAACTTACTCAGCTTTGGCTGCGCTCACTATACTCTATTACCTCACCTTCGACAGTTACAACGAAAATACTGGCAATCCAGCCAGCTATAGTTATGACAGTGTCGATTTGTAGTGGACACTTTTGACACTCCACTTGTGCAGGTTCGGCTGCACCTTGATTACACCATACTGAAGACATGGCATTCTAAACTTGCTCAGCTTCGGTTGCACGCTCTATTACCTCACCTTCGGCAGTTACTGTGAGTAGACGAAAATACTGGCAATCCAGCCAGCTATAGTTATGGCAGCGTCCATTTGTAGGGGACACGTTTGAGGACTGAAGTGTCCACCCGTGGTGGCAGCAACTCAAAGCGTGTGATTGAATCATTCTACACCTCGAAACTGATTTGTTCGTTTTACATCTAATTCCTTTTGTAGAATGAGTCAGCACCGGAAGGGCTGTTCAACTCCCGTCACAAAGACACCTCCGCCACGGTGATTCATCAATTTTTATTGCAGCCTGATGGCTTTTGGGTTGAAGGCCAGACAGGCCGAGTACGTATTTCAGTAGAAACAACGGCGGAGATCTACGATACCCCACCGTCAAGAAAACGGCGACTTCAATTGCCGGCATCTGGCGAAGGCAACAACGACGAAGAACCCATCACCCCATCACTTCTTCAAGATTGACGCACCGTCTGGTCTCACAATTTCAATAGCTGATCATCAACAAGACTGATTCAATTTGCCCTTTCTTCTCGTCAATACAGACCATCTTCAAGCCGCTATCTCTTGCTACCATGAGTTCCTTTAACCGAATCGCCATTGTCTGCCTTTGCTTGGTCCAGTTTAGTTGTTTGTTGACCAATGCATTTGTGCTTCCAGGTGTAAGCCGTCCATCACGAGTAGCCGCACATCCACTCCGTGAATCTTTTAGTAGCACAGAACTGGGGGGTTCCAGCAGACGTCGAGAAGTGTTTGGGAAGCTTCGAAAGGCGGTCTTTGCTGGGGGTATCCTTAGCACCTTCCGAAAACCGGCCTTTGCTGACGAAGGTACCCCTGCGCCCGCCTCTGGGCGTGTTGTCGAGTTTCAAATTGGGAATGTAGGGGGAGATGAGGGTGCCACTGGAACTGTCAAGATCCAGCTGCGGCCGGACTGGGCACCTCGTGGGGTAGCTCGGTTTGAGCAACTGACAGAGCAAAACTTCTGGGACTCCTGCCGTATCTTTAGGGTCTTGCCTGGTAAGTTCATAGGTGTGCCCGTTTTTGTTGCGTCCTTTTGGCTGCCCAAGTGATTCTAATCCAACGAATGTTTCCGGTTGATCAATTGCAGGTTTTGTGTCTCAGTTTGGAATCAACGGGAATCCCGACATTCAATCCAAGTGGCGATCTGCCTCCATTCCTGATGATCCCGTGAAAGTGAGCAACAAGAGAGGCACTGTGGTGTTTGCTACTGCAGGCCCCAATACAAGGACAAGTCAGATCTTCATTAATATCAACAAGAATGGCAACGACTTTTTGGACAAGCAAGGATTCGCGCCAATTGGAGAAGTCATTGAAGGGATGGATATTGTTGACCAGTTCTATTCCGGATACGGAGAAGGTAGGTTTTGCTTAATAGATCTCCTCTGCACGTTTGTGTCAGACCAAATAAACTCACTTGATGCCACCTGTTGCTTTGAAATCTCAGGAGCTCCTGCTGGCAAGGGCCCTAATCAGGGATTGATCCAGAAGCAAGGCAACTCTTATCTAGAGCGATCCTTCCCCAAGCTGTCCTACATCAGCAAGGCATCTATCAAATAAATAGGCAATGGTGTTGCTGTGCCTCAGCTAGCAACCGTTGTCGGAATGACGTTGGTCGCAAAGTGCTACGTACATGGTAATTGTATACTATTAGAACAACATATTACTTCCTAGACGACTACCGGTATTGGTTTCACCGCAGGTTGCTGGTCGCTGAAGGTTGATGTTCCCTTCAGTAGTGTAGGTGCAAAACGACGATACAAGCAACCGGCTCTTGACGAGCAGCTATGGCCTGTAATTGTATAGTTGAAGATGCACTGTGAGTCTTTGATGACCCAGCCCAGGAGAAAGTGGTGCTCCGCTGAAGGAAGTCTCTCCCCGGAGACACGAGTTCAAGGCAGGATCAAAGCATCTACGGACACAACCAATTGGCACTTCTTGTCGATGAACAACAGAAAGGCAGCAGGGGAAAATCAAGGTTGCTACAGTTCCACTTTCACAGTTCTATCACTTCAAGGCAAGTCATACGATTTTAGCAAAAAGTGACTGAACTAAGTAAGTTTACTCACAAACTGCCGAATCGCCGTCTTTGTGTTGGGGTGGAGTCGAGTCCAAAGAGAGGAATCAAGAGAGCTAGACAGGCTTCAAATTTCAACAAGTAATACCGTTCCAAGTTGTACAGTACAAACCCAGTATTGTTGTAGTTGCTTGCTACTACTGATGCAAAGATTCCTGCCCACAATTGATTTTTCAATGGTTGTAAGAGCTAACCAGCACCTCCAATGTCTCCCTCATCCAATATAGTGTATGTGGCTGCTGCCTCTTTCATGGTGTTCACCCGATTCAGTTTCACAAATGCCAAGAGCAGCCTGGTGGAGTTCAATGGCTACATACTGTTGTCCTCTGTTCCATTCACTCCCGTTTGGGTACAGAAGTCCACATGTTCCTCATCATTGTTGTTTGCTTGTGTCTCTACCAGTTGAGCAAGGACATGCATCTACCCTCGCAGTAAGTCATTGACCTGCTTGTTGATCACTCAATAACCAAGATCTGTCATAACGTACAGGTGCCGTGGTATTATGGAGAGCATTGATACCACCTCCATTCTTGATGCATGAAATCCTGCTTCAAAGAATGCTACTCCTTAGGTGGCATTTTGATGTCCAGATGGCACCATTTGTGTGGGGCAGAGTTGTGGGCAGTAAATATTTCAAAGTTGCACCTATGATTGCTAGTGATATACTGGCACATTCCAAGGAGCCATCATGGCTAGTACTGTAGATGCCCAATCCTCTGTCTTGCAAAGAAAGGAACAACAAGCCATCATTCCAGACCCTTGTTGGGCGGCAGCTTCCACTACCCTGTGTTGATTGTATGATTTTCCGGGTATAGGTCCTCTTGGGGTCAAACGTTGCCTTTCCCACATCATGATCTTGAGCTCAAATTGGAGGCAATGAACAGAAGCAGCACCCATTTTCCCACCTATGGGACTTGGACTTGTGTGGGAACCCTTCTTTTGGATGACCCAAGAGGAATTCTTCGATCTTCATTGGATTTCTATTTGCTGTCTCTGCAAAGAGGAGTTCCTGTTGTGGAAGTGACTCCTCCTTTCAAGCAAAACGTGTTCGAGGTGAAGGACGATGAATCGAAGCCTAGCTAGCTAGAGTATCGAGCTGTGGTGACTTGACCTTGATTGGATAGCTTCTCTCCATTATCATTTCTTCTTTTTGCTCGTGTGTCTTCCTAGTAAGCTACCCAGCTGCATGTCGTAGCTACGGGGTGCCATTGTCTATTGTTGATTGGCTGCTGGCAAGACGATGGGATGCTCACTGCAGCTCTTGATGCTGGCGGTAGAAAGCAAATAATGACATATCAAAGCTTTGCAGGCTGCCGGGTTCGTCTCCGAGTTTCTTTAACGAATTCAACGCAGTGTATGGCTAATTACAGAGCCTACTCGCCAAGTATAAAAGTTGGGCCAGCTCTCTAAAGCAGTACACTTTTTCAGGTTTTATTGCTTGAGCGACGAGCTGCGATCGGTGGCAGTGCAGCTTGGTTGCTATTGAAACTGCTCGTCTGCACGCTTTTCTAACTCTGGCCTGGTGTCACTATTAATAGCCACCGGTAGTCGTTGCCATTTGAAGGGGGGGAAGATTCTTTTGCCTTTCTGGGTGGATGCAACATCCCCTGCTTTTGTTGCTTTGTGTGGGTATCAGATCAGACTGTCGCTTGTGTCTTGTAGTTGACAATGCCCTCATCAGTAGAGAGCTCTCTTTCGAGTAATAGTAATGAACCGGAAAGAGGAAATGTACTAGGGGAAATTCCTGTCATCTACGAAGGTAAGCATCGACAGACACTAACCAAAAGATCCTTGGAGATCCCAATCCTAACTCGTCTTCCTTTTCCGCTGCACAAAGAGGATGACGAACAGAGCGAGACTAAGGAGAGAAGCTGCCTTGAGAGGGCTTCTCAATGCTGGAAAGAGTCAATAAACTCCATAAGAAGACCGATATCAGATTGTGTACTGGCAATAGCGCTGCATGCAGCAAGAAACCCATACTTGTACATAATCGGGATCATTCATTTGTCCTTTACCATGGTCGCATATGGGCTCTTCACTGGCTTCCATATGGAAGTCGATGCCGAAAACCTCTACACTGTCTATGGTAGTAGAATAATAGAGCACAAGAGGTGGATTGACCAAGAATCAGGCTTTGGCAAATACAATGCCAGGATGTTCATTCTCATGGTACACGCGGATGGAGCAAACGTTGCAGGGAATGAAGGTATTCGCAAATGCTTCAATGCACTGAATGCATTGACCAATACGCCGGGCTATACGGGGGTCTGCAGCGATGCTGCCTATGTCGGCATGGACGGAAGCCACACTTGTGACGTGAGGGGCGTGACCAGGTTTTGGAATGGGAATTTGACACAATACAGTCAACAAGTCACTTCAGACGTTGCTGCCAGGGCCGCTCTGTCTGCCAGTGCATACCCCGATGGAGCTGCAGTGGATCTCCCAGAGATTCTGGGGAACTATCAGATTGATGATGATGGAAACGTCACGTTCGCAGAATCGTACATATTGACGATACCCCTACCCTTTACAAAAGAGGCTAAGGACTTTGAAGCAGAGGCACTGGATAAGCTCCTTGACATGCAGAAGGAATGGGATCAAGGAGGAAATTCTTTTCGCCTCGAGGTTCAAGCAGAACGTTCACCGCATGACGAATCCGAGCGCTCTGTCAGGACAGGCCCCTCATCCCTTTGGTATTCGTGGTCATGTCGGGTTTCACCATGTTCGTTTTTTGGAGCTATGACAGAGTAAAGTCCAGGACCATGGTTGGATTTGGTGCAGTGGTTTCGGTCCTTTTGGCTGTGATGACTGGGTACGGTTTCCTGTTCCTCTTGGGGGTGCCCTTTACAATGATGACCCCTATACTACCCTTCGTCATGTTTGGTATGTACTTGCTACCCGTTCTGCAATCAGCTTGTTGTGCAATGACTCTCACAAAAGGCGTGGCTTCTGGCTTGCCTCCTTTCCATCGACATTGACAATTGGTTTATTTTAGGGATTGGTCTTGACGATGGTTAGTACATGGAGACGAGACCCTAGAGCTTAGCAAGATTGGTAGAGTTCAAAGTTTGAGGCTCACCTGTTTTCCTTCCTCCCTTACTTTGTCCTGCTACCCATCCTACCGTACAACCGAAGCATTTATTATAACGGGGGCATTTGACAGAACGGATCCGAGAAGAGATCCAGTCGAGCGGATGGATCTAGCCTTCCAAGAGGTTGGTTTGTCCATATTCATGACAACAGCTACTACTTCCCTGGCGTTTGGACTAGGATGTATATCGAGCATACCTGCAGTTGGGTGGCTCTCTCTTTATGGTGCGTGCGACATCAATGCTTGTCAAGCCTTTTGTTTTGCCGTGTTGCTCACTTCACTTAATTACTTACTTTTCAACAGCTTTCCCAGCCGTTGTGTTTGCTTTCCTTTATCAGATCAGCTTCTTCGTTGCCGTCTGCGTGCTGGATGCAAGACGAATGGAATCAAACCTCATGGACTGCTGCTGTTGCATCACAGCAGATCGCGATCTTTCGAATCAACCTCCAATCAAACGGATCCGAGAGACACCCAGCCACAACGTTAGCCTTTCAAGAAGATTCATCGCGTGGTTTGCAAGGGCTATCATGCATCCTTGGATAAAGGTCCTTGTGATACTTTCATTCGCTGGCTTAGCCGTTTTTTGTGCCATTCGGATGACCCGGCTGAAGAATGATTTCAAGGTTTCCGATGTGGTTCCGGAGGACTCGTACACTCTGCGGTTCTATGGTGCTATGGGTGAATATGGGCATCGAGGGAAGATCATTCCGGCCGCATACTTCCGCGGTGTAGACCAGTCAAACGAACAAGTGCAGAACGAGATGGAGCAGTTCGTCAAGGACCTGGTTTCACTGGATCAGTTTGGCTTCGAGCCCCCATTCTTCTGGCTTCGTGATTTCAATCTGTTCGTAAGCAGCAACAGTACATACAACAGTACATCCTATGTTGGTGCATTGGCATTCAAAGAACAGCTCGCGGTCTTTCTTCAAGACCCGGGATTTCAGCGAACGTATGGTAGCGACATCATTTTGAACGAAGACGGCGAGATTTTATCGTCCCGATGCATCATGTACATGACAAACCTAGATATGGACGACACCGAAGATCAAATCGATGCTGTATACAGTCAAAGACGAGTGGCTTCAGAACAGTCGATCAACAGAGGACAAGACGACTGGAATTTCTTCACCTACGAGATCAACTACTACATTTGGGAATTCTTCGCTGTTGCAAGAAAGGAATTGCTGTCCACAGCAGCTACTGGCATTGTTAGTGTCAGCGTTTTGGGCTTCCTTTTAATCCCGCATTGGAGCGCGGTTTTCTATGTTTTCCCAATGATCACAGTGCTATGTGTGGACCTTCTCGGATTCCTTCAAATATGTGGAGTCACCATCAATGCTGTCAGCTACATGGCAGTGATGATGTCAATTGGTCTTTTGGTTGATTTCATGTAAGTCGTCACTTGGCGAGTGCAGTGACTTCCAGTAATCGTCCTGGTCTCAGAGAGCTCAACTTTTTCCAAAACCCTTCGCAGTATGCATATATTGCTACGTTACTACGAATCCACCAAAGCAACCCGTGAAGCAAAAGCTATTGATTCGCTGGAAGCTATGGGGCATTCACTTTTCCTTGGGGGGTTGACGACATTTTTGGGGATCGTGCCGCTAGCTTTCAGCTCGAGCAAACTTTTACAGACAGTATTCACAGCTTTTGCTGCGATGGTGGCTCTGGGAGTGACTCACGGCCTTATCCTCTTACCCGTGGTTCTCTCCCTAGTAGGAACAACGGACTGCATTCGATTGGAATCAGAGGATAGAATATCAAGCATTCGCGCCATCATCAAGAAGCGACATCCACACAAAACTGCAACATCGTCAGATGCAAGCCAATCCGGTACGACCGTCAGCTCCATCACGGTGTCGGTGGACGGAGGGAAATCAGAAGGTCTTGAGATTGTTTTAGTGCCATGATTTGCCAATGTTGACTTTCGAAGCAAGTCTGCCCGTACTGAAAGTGATGGAACACCGTACTGAAATGTAAAGGATCTTCAAGGATCAGTAGGAGAACACGACAATGATCCCAAAAAATTTCCTGCATGCCCCTTTACCACGTAGTTGCCAGTCAGCAAGTGCAGGCAATGTGCCTCTGTTTTCAATAGCTACGGTAGGCGAAAGGAACAAAGGATTCATGTAATGCAATTTCTATAAGTTTAGAGCACGGGAAGGCATGCCAATCGAAAGCCTCGGCGACAAAGCACAGTAGTGGACTGTTGAGAAAGAGCTACTCTTCCTCAGACGTTGAATGAGTATCTTCATTGTGATCCAAAATATCCTCCTCTCCCAACCGCGAAATGGTATCTCTGAGCCATTGTAAACTAGAACGGTGGTGACGCAAGATGATCGTTTTCATCCCTCCGGAAAACTCGTCATCAAAGTCGTCAACTTCGCCAAAGGTGTGGAGTAGATTTCTGCATCTCTGGAATGACCTTATGGCTTTGTCCGAAAACAAAGACTGATTGTCACTTCCACAAAACAAATTGAGGCGAACCGCGGAGATGAGTTTGGAAGGTTGCCGTGCTATTGTGAGCATGCCGCTACCCTCCGATAGTACGCGTTTGTGTTGATCGCGAAGACCCCTAATGACGGGCTTTACATTGTTGCCGTACATATCAGTTCCCTTGAGGAACCAATCGGGTTCAGCTGGTCTAGATCCATTCAAATAATCCGTAGCGCGTCCAATCTTGAAGACTGGAGGGTCACGAAACGCTCGAGCAGAGCCCGAGCCATCAGGGCGAAAGTCAAGCTCCAGGATCAAGTCTTTCTGGGTGAGAGTGCCTTCGTTTGTGAGATCAACGATCTCGCTCATGATCGCAAAGTAGTTTTCTTCCAAAAAACTTTTCAGGGTGCTGTCCCTGTAATGGGAAGCCTTCTGGAGCCTCTCATCTAAAGGCTTGCAAATCTTGTAATGGGCCTTCCAATCATCTAGTTGGCACTCGCGAGAACAGTAGAAGGCTACTTGGCATATACCGCAAACCAACATAGCTTCATCCTCGTCCAGTTTGCTGCATTTGCGACACAGCCTCGTCACAGCTGCCGAACCGTCACTCAGTGTCATGGGTGTGCAAACAGCCGCCAGCAAGTTCTTTATTCCTCCAAGGCGCGAAAGAATGCCTTCTTCACTATGTGGTCTCGTCCTTGGATTCGAAAACTTGTCGACAACAGAATTGAAAATATCGCCGGTCTGCTGTCCCTTTACGAGCTTCTTGCTCACTGAGCCAGCTCGTCCAAAACTTCCAAGTGTCACTTGCGAACATCTGGATCTGAGCAGGGTTGCACAATAGAACAGCGGAGGAATTGACCCAAAAGACCAGATGACTCGATGATCTTCATCCTTTTTGTAACATGCTTCTCTTGACTGCCGAGCGTCGCTAGAATGTTGAATACAATAAAGCCAAATCTCTCGCTTACTTCGGGACATGGCATTGGGTTCTTTGCTGCCTCTGCAAACTTGGCGAGAGAACTGAGCAAGCCCAACGTCATAGCCTCCTTCAAAAACACATCATGCTTGTTGAATGAAATCAAGTTCACAAGGACTTCCAAATCATACTTGCGCAAACCCCAGTCTTTGTCCATTGCGGGGCTGTCGTCAGATTTTCAAGTACCCGTTGAAAGTGCTTTACCGAAGCGCGCATATCACTGGTACTGACGTTGCTGTCAAAGACATGTCTTGAAGCTGTATTCGCAAGAGAGTCAAACATAATGTAGGACCGTTCAAGAATCCCACCATGATGAGCAATCTCTTGTCGGCTGGAGGCTGATACAATGCCTTTTCGTGCTGGCTTCACATCTGACTTGATTCGGGTAGAGAATGGGCCCAGGCTAGAGAACAGCTCAAGGAACTGATTTGCTCCTTCCTGTGTCATAATGTCAAGTCTGGGGCCGCCTTGAATCACAACCACAAAGGAGCTATCGGTGTCATCGCATCTCATCTTGCTGTGCTCTATTAGCACTAGCTAGCAGTACTTTCTTAGCGTTTCGGTGTCTTGGAAAAATGACGGCCTCAAGTGTGGTTCACGAAACAATAACATAATTTTATTACGAGATTTACATCACATCTGTCCAGCTTGCCGTTTGTCTCTGAAGAGCGCCACAATCCACCGGTAAAGCTACCTTTACTGTATGCATAGCTCCACCATCGGAGATAGAGGTGGGGAAGGGGGAAGCTGCATTCTTCAGGATCAAACCTCATCGTCCCGCTCAATGAAAGGTCTGCAGTCTTTTATTTGGCCTTGCCATTTTCTCCTTCGCCGGTACTAATAACGTACCGGTACCAGGTTAGAGCACAGGTGTCGTGCAACTCAGGTGCAAGCTTCCGGTACTGGTACTAGTAGCGGTACCGTACGTTGCTGAGGTGCGGAGGCCGTACCGGTACGAAACTCCAGTGGAGAGAAGAATGATCTGTTTTTTTGTTTTTTTCAGTTCTGGGCAGCCTCCTACTTCAGAAATCATTGTCGAAGTGATCCACGTTAGCTAAGTTTCAAAGCAGAACCATTAGGCCATCTCTCGCTTCAACTCTTGAGCGACAGCACCATGGTACTATGGGCGACCCACTGGAAGCAATGGGTCCGTTTCTGTTTCCTTCAACAACCACAGCCGGTTCCAGAGGAGCCATGGTCCAGCTATTTGTGGGATTGGGGATGTAGCGTTACCCATTAGTTTTTAGCAAGCTGCCTTGAGATCCATCGTCTTGAGCCATAGATTACCTTACCTGCCGACACAGAGCCCATTCTTTTCGTCTCTTCGGAGTACATGTAACTCCTCCCACCCAAGAGCAGACAGTGCTCCGACTCGACTCTTAGTCCTTGCAGCTACTGGTATGGCTACTTTAGCTACTCGTACCTGGTATCTGGCATCATGCAGACACTGTTCGCGTGCCCTGGCCACCCTGGACAATTTTTATGAATATTCGAACAGTCTATCATTCAGTCGATCCAATTCGATGAATTCCAATCGCCAAATTTCTATTTTTGAGAGCAAAAATGGTGAATTATGAGAAAAACTACTTAGAACCACATTTTTGCTAGCTAAGGGTCACATAGAGCCATCTCCCGTCACGTTTTCTCATTTCGAAGACCGAAGACCCATGATGCCACAGTCGACGAGAGTTGGTCAAGACCTTGTACGATTGACATTCTGAAGCAGCGGAGGAGCGGAGGTTCCATCAACTGTTTGCAACTATCTGAAGGCGCCTTGTTGGAAGCTCGAGGCTGTATACTGATACCGTTGTTACAGGGGCAAGATTTCGGTTTGATTCGATTCAACAATCATCATCGTCAGTCGATAGGAAGAATTCAGTAGAAACCAAGACGTCCCCGCCACCATGTCGATTGTCGGAAGTGTAGGAAGGCGAATGAAAGCGCCTTCGCCGCTGAGCAAGAGCATTATGAATGATCGGTGGGAAGAGGCTCTGACGATTGCTCGGAATCAACCGGAGAAGGCCAAGGTTTGGGGATGGCGACAAGGTTTCTTTGAAGGGCTCAAGGACAGCAAGGTATTGCCTTTGCATGAATGTCTTGTGGGAAACGGCCCTGTTGAGGTTGTCCATGCTCTCATATCAGCGTATCCCAAGGGAGTCCAACACAAAGAGAGCTCCTACCAACGACTCCCACTCCATTGTGCATGTCGGAAAAACGCAAATCCAAAAGTTGTCCAGCTCCTGTTAGAAGCAGATGCAGAGGCATCATTAGTGGCAGATTCATTGGGGAGATTGCCGCGTAAGTTGGTTCTTTTCATCGAGATGCTTGTCAAAAAGAAAAACCTGTGCTTTGAGACGTTTCTCAAATTAATCGCTTTTTTGCCACTACAATGTACTCGGAACTTTTTTGAATGACTCGACTCAGTCCACTATGCCCTGTCCAATGGAGCTAACGATGAGGTTATTTCTTTGCTGCTAAAGTACCACCCTAATTCTGCCAGGGGTTGTGATAATCGAGGCTGGACACCGTAAGTTGTTCTGAAGTCGGTAGCGTGTTTGGTAAGATGAGCCACCCATTTTCAGTTTGGCTGACCTTGACCGGTTCCTTCCGCTTCTTGCAGTCTCCATGTAGCGTGTGGTATGGGTGCATCAACGCATGTGGTTAAAATGATTCTGGAATCCTATCCTGAGGCATGCATTTTGAAGACGCGAAAGGGGTCACGTCCAATCAAGTGCGTCAATCCAAAGGCAGTCAATAAAGAAGAGGTGAAAGCCTTGCTCCAAACCAAAAAGAGAGATCTGGATTCCACATACCGACCAGCAAAACCTGTCAAGCAAGGGTCAGAGAGGACTTTGGTCTAGGAGGACAACTAAATTGGGGCTTTCTTCTTGTGTTGTCGACGGTGACAATTCAAGAAGTTGGCCTGAGCCACTGAAGAAGTATCAAAGCTCCATCAAAATTGATACTAAGACTGCTTGCTTGGGCTTGCTTGAAAAGTGGGAAGCAATGATGGCTGGAATTTCATTTGGTTGGTTATCTTAGCGAGGGTGGGCTCCTTGGCGGCATATTCAACAATCTATTATCTGTAGAACTGTAGAACTTATCCCTACTTTCCGTGCACTGGCAGCGGACATTCATTTTATTCGTAACCTCAAATTAGAAGCAAACATCAGCCGAAGGTCCCCTGCGACGGTAGGGCGCCCTCATCCTTGACTGTTGCAAGAATCGAATCTTCGATCATTTTATTAAGAACCTTAGCCACCTGGGAAACAGACAGCACCAGGTCTCGCCAAAAAAGATCAACTCTTGCAAAACTGTTACCTACTGGGAATATCTGAGTTACAGCCACCAATCTAGGTAAGTTCGAAACCGGCGCCCGACTCGACCGCATCCAACAGCTTCTTTCGAAGCAACTCCTTGTTTCTGTAGTTGGGAAGTTTCAGTAGGTTCATGCAAGTCGAACTAGTGGGGAGTGGGACGTTCTTTGCCACTACAGCAAGGTCGTCCTCAAAGACTTGGTCCGGAAGTCGAATCTGCTGCACACATGGTGGCGGGTCCAGGGAACTGAAACCCAACAATGGCTGTCGTGAACATGAAGTCATGAATCTGAGAAACTTTCGTTGCTGCTCCGGCGTAAAGTCCTCAAGCACCTCCCAGAACCACTGCATTACTGGCTGTGATAGATGATACCCCGCGGCGTACTGCATTGAACGCTTCAAACTCGCCACATCAAAGCCGCGTAGCGAATCATCCCCACTGATGAGCTTCTGCAGCTCGTAGGCCGAGAACAGCCGAACCCACGATGCAGGAATCAAGTCTCGAAACCCATTGAGAAAGGACTTGGTTTGAACAGCTGCCTCAACATTCAGACGTTGATGTGAAACTAGATGAACATATTGGATGACATTTGCCTTTGTGACGGCCTTGGATCGACCCCCTGGTAGCAACTCGACAGTTCGCATGGATGAACCGTCACCAAGCGTTATCTCAAATGTCAGCCCCAGCTCTTCAATCTCATTTTCCTTCAGCGTGAGCAGCTTTGTCAGATTCGTATAGTACTGAAAATCATCGTTCTTTAGGTCCTCCAATGAGTTGCGTTTGCCCAACAACTGATTCAGAAACGGTAGCGAGAATTGCTGGGGGGTGCACAAAACAAGGCAATATGTGAGCAGTGTGCTGAAATCATGAAGGACGTGAAACATAATTTCCTGCACGCACCGGGTCAACCAATATGGATTCATACACAGCTTTTCCAAGCACCCGCCCCAGGAATTCGTAATGTGGAAGGGCTGCACCGTCCTGTGTTAGCGCCGAATTGACCTTCAATGTTTCCAGCGGAGTAACCGTAAAGAGTCGAGGGATCCCCGAAGCGCTGGTGCCTTTAGAGAAAGCATCCTTGATCAAATCATCAAGAAATTCCTTGAAGACACCGCCACCATCGATTCCAGCTTCTTGCGTTCCGTGTTGGTTGACAAAGGAAACTTGGACTTTTTTCTTCAATTTGGACCCAAGCTGGTTCAATTGTCGCATCGAGTCATCGTACAGTTTGTCCCGTCTAATTTCCACTCTCTCGCGGCCACCACTCACGACGTTTTCCTCTCCTCGCATCATGCTGAGCATTGCCATTCGGAATTCAGCATTCTCATCTTGGGTCTTGAGCTTGTCCGCTGTCAGAAGCGAATCGAACAGACGCACTCGACGTTCAAACGGAAGCGCCTGTGGGATGCAGGTCAAGACGCGAGCCATCTTGGGATCACGAAAGGCGTTTGCCAATGCATCACTTTCCGCATCCGCCGTACTCATTCCCTGATTTGCCGCGTTGTCGTCATCCGTCTGGCTCTCATCCATTCCATCTTCTTCGTCTTCGCTCTCCTCGTCAACATCCATGTCCATCAAGCCATTCGGGTCTCCGCCTGCACTTCGCTGGGCAGCTGCGTTGACAACGGCATTCCCGCCTTCCTGGGAAGCCAAATGAGGAAACCACCAGGCAGACTCATCGCAAAATGGAATTGACCGAACCAAACGACACCATCGTTCATACAAGGATCCCCACAGTTTGGTTCCAGACAAGAGGAATCGAGCCCGCATGCATCGTAGTGCATCTTCGTCCGACGACAAGATAGTGCTGGATGAAGCCAGTTTGACATCGTCCAACAATACCGGTTTGGACCAGTAGACCTCATACAGCAAGTCTCGAAGATACTCAATGACGCGTTCCGCCATGACAACCTTTTTCTTTTTGGCATCGCCATCAAGATCCTTGACGTTTGTGTATTGAATGAGGAATTTATCATCACTGAGTGCAATCAAAGAGTGGGCAAAAATGTCGCAAAAGACAGTGACCATGGTACATGTCAGCATATCTTGGGACGACCCCCTTTCTTCTGCCCGAGCCATGACTGCTTGCCAGAGTCTCTGAATCATGGTGCCACCACCGCAAACGCCAGTTGCGATAGAAACGGAGAGCTGGCACTGGTTCGTGATCGCAACCCTGTGGTGGACTGCATGATACGAGCCAGTAGTTGAACATAGACTTGACACGCACTAAAGCTGTCACCGCTTGTCATCGTCGTCGTGTCCATAATCTTCTTGTCACTTTCTCCTTCCTTTTGCAACTGCGGCAACAACAGCTCTCCCCACGATATCCACAGTGCTGGGTTTCCAATTTGCAGTGCCATATCCACGAGCGATTGAGCATATGCCTTGGTAGCACTGTTTCCTTCTTTGGCTTGTTCCGACAGTGCCGCCAGAGTTTGATTCTTTTGACGTTGTCGTTCCTCTTGGTAGATCCGTTCGAGGTACGGTATGGTTTGCAAATCTTGCTTGGCGATTTTTCGATTCGCTCCGGACTTGTGCTTTTTATGGTTCGCATCTGGTGGTTGACTAGTAGCAGTAGCAGTCGTTGCGGTGGCCGCCACATCAGGCAGAGTTTGTTGTTGTTGCTGTTCCATTTCTTCTTCGAGCATTTTTTCGTCTTCATCCTCCTCCTGATGGGTTGTTGGTTGTTGTTGCAATGCTTGTTGTGCAAAAATGACGGACGAGACATCCTCTCCCCGTACAACGACCGACGTGAGAATGGCAAGATCATTGTGATGTGTGAGTACGTGATGAAGAAACTTGAGGAGTGCCGTTGACGGTGGCATGCTGTCTGTTTGTTGTTGATTTTGTTTTTGCCAATCGAGTGCATTGGATAGCACAATGTGCCATCGCCCGTGCAATACTTTGGACAGCACCGTGGCGAATAACTGTTCGTTTGTTGGTTGTTGTCTTTCTTCTACGACGTGTTGTACCAATGCCAAAAAGTATTCCTGCTGTGGTCCTTCCATCCACCAGGAACAAGTAGGATCAGTGCGAACTCCAGTATGATGTCCCATGACTGTGGCCGCGAGTAGCGCCTTTGCAGAATTTTGCAACGCCGATCCCTTTTCCAATTCATTGACCGCCTGACACGACCATTTCCAGAGAGTTTGAAAGACACGTACGTCCGGAAGTGATGGTTGTTGCTGTTGCTGTTGCCACCACCAGAGACATTCTTGCGTGGATTGCAGGAGGAGTAAGAGTCCCTTGGAACCTCCCATTCGTTTCCACAAGAGTGAGGCATCTTTCAAGTAGTATTCTAGGATTGTGAATAGGTGTTGCTGGAATATTGCTGTTGTGGATGCTGCACGCTGAAGTGGTCTCCATCGTGCCAAGGTCATTTGGACAATTCGAAAGGAAAGTGCATAGGGTGGCAAATGGTGATTGTGATGATCTTGGCATTTGGCAATGGCAGCAGCATGTTCCGAGAGCCATTGATCCACTACAGTTTTGTTGGGTACTGCCTGGAGCAATGGCGGTGACAGTCGTAGTGACAAGAGAAAGGACTGTTGATGGAGTGTGGCTTCTGTGGTGGGTTTGATGGTTTCCGTTTGTTGTTGTTGCCACAGTGATCCCAAGACAGCCGGACCAGCGACATGCTGTCGCGTCTTCCATCCTCGATAGACTTTTTGTATTTTGGTGACAGACTTTTCTTCCAACTGATGTCGACGCCGTTCTTCTCGTTTGATGCGAGTCTGTTCCAACAAGGATTCACGACCCGTTTCCACGGCAACCGTAAAGGCGGGCAGAGAGCCCATCGAGTTCCGATCATGGGCATGATGATGTTGTTCCGCAGGACGGGTGCTTTCTCGGCCTCGACGACGATTCTTGTTGCCTCTTCCTCCTCCAAGGTTCACTTGGCGACGGCTTCGATGGTTGCCATCAAACATCGTGGCTGTCACTAACAACAAGGGAACTTTGATTGGATTAGTTTTTTTTAAAGAATTCGATGGATGCTGGAATGTTTTGTGTGTTCTCGCCTACAACTCTTCCTCCTCCTTGGACCGTAACACAACACAACAAACAATGCTCAAGCAACACTGCTCCTGGTACCACCTACTAGAACTCTAGCTAGCTACTAGGAACTGGCAGAGCGAACTTGTCTTGGCCGATGGAATACACTCAGGATTACTTTACGATTGCAACGGTCCAAAAGAACAGCAAGGGCTGGATTGGAACATTCGAACTCGATCGAGGAAAAAGCAGCAAATGTTTTTTTCACGTTCGTTCTCAACTCGTGACTCGACTCACAGGAAAATGAAATTAATATTGTGAGAAACTGAGAAAAATGAGAGATATAATTGTGAGAAACCTGAAAAATAGAAATTGTGAGAAAAGTGAAAAAAGCAATTGTGAGAAACCCAAAATTGAAATTCTGAGAAATACAAAATAGTAATTGTGAGAAATCAGCAAAATTGGAATTGTGAGGAATCGGAAAAATTGGAATTGTGAGAAAATGAAATTGAAAATTGGAATTGTGAGAAACCCAAAATTGGAATTGTGAGGAATCAGAATTTGAAAATTGGAATTGTGAGGATGTAGAAAACTTGAATTGCGAGAAATCGGCAACAATTTGAATTGTGAGAATTCAAAATTCAAAATTTGAATTGTGAGGAATGGGGAAAAAAGGAATTGTGAGAAATCGGGAAAAAATGGAATTGTGAGAAACCAACAAAATTCGAATTGTGAGGAATCTGGCAAATTTGAATTGTGAGAAGTCGAAATTGAAAATTTGAATTGTGAGAAGTTGGTAAAATTTGAATTGTGAGAAATCGAAAAATTGAATTTTGAGGAATTGAAAACGAAATTGAAATTGTGAGGAATCGGAATTGAGATTGAAATTGTGAGGAATCGGAAACAAAATTGGAATTGTGAGGAATCAGCAAAATTGAAATTGTGAGCAATCGGAAACGAAATTCAAATTGTTTGGAATCAAAAACGAAATTGGAATTGTGAGAAACCGGAAAAGAATTTGAAATTTTGAGGAATCAGAAAATTGAGAATTAAAATTGTGAGAAACTGGGAAATCCGGTACTTGCGGTAGCGCTGTCTCATCTCCTTCCTATTGCGTGAGATCTGATCCTTTATCCATTCCATCATTCCATCATAGCTAGCCATCTACTACGATACCAGTACCATGTCATCCTCATCCGCTCCATCATCCTCTGGCAGCAGCAACAGCAACAGCAGCGCTCAATTGGAAGCAGAATACCGAGCGCAAATCAAAGAAACGTCTCGAGAAGGTCGTTTGAGTTTCAAAAATCGTGCCGAAGATTTGTTGCGATACGAATGCAAGGAAGAAGCCAAGGAGATTTGCAAACCGTTCGTTCAAGATTTTGCGGAATGTGCTAACGAACAAGGATTGTTTGTCGTCTTTCGATGTCAGTCCAAATTAAAGGCACTCAACTCTTGCATGGCAAAACACAACGGTGAAGAAGCGTGGCAAAAATACAAGCAAGATCATCAGAAGGAACTGGAAATCAGATCCACAGGAAAGAAAGTATTCTAAGTAACTGTCCTAGTACATAAATAAAGGATTGACAGGATGGAATGATTAGAATGGAGCGATTCGATTCAGCTGCGAGTGAATGATATGATGATATGATACCGATATGATATGGTTAGGCAACAATTTTCTGCAGACAATGCCAGATCGTACGACTGTACTCTCTCCCGCAAGTTTAGGACTTGGGTTCACTTTGCCTAATAACTACTAAGGAAGGCATCAACGCTTTAAGAACTTGTCTTTCCTGTTTGCAGCGTTGGAACTAGCTAGATGTCCCTATTTGCAGCAAAGTACTTGTCTGCTCGTTCTTCTAGCTAGCTAGCCAGAGCAGATACCGTAAAAATCGATCCAACTATAGTTTCCAGCCCTGCAGTTGGATCTTTCATTAGTTGGTCCTTTGGAGGTCGCATTTACTATGAGGAATTCGAGCATTACCTGTCATAATGGTTGGGCCCGCCCACGGTGCTAGTCTTCCATGCCATGGTTCTCAATAAATGATACCCATTCCTCATTAGCTTTTTGTCTTGTACTATAGTACTATAGTGCCATCTTTCTTCGTTGTTGATAATCAACCATAACGTTGATTCGTTAATTAATAATTTAATCATAATGCGGTCGATATTGCATTCGCTGTCGCTGTCCTCCTCCACCACCATTCTGCAGTCTGGCTTGGTTTTCCGCCAACTTGGCCATTCCGTACACCCCACCCGCAGCTGCACCAAACATGGCCATGATGTAGGTGGCGACAAAACTAAATGCCGCACACGATGCACCGACAAACACCAACACGGCCATGATGGGATTGGGTTGATAGGATCGTATAATGGACCAGAGTCCAATGACAAACATGACAAATGCCATGGCGAGTCCCATGGAAAAATTGATGAGTACATTCATGGCAATTTTGACAATCCATTCGGCCGTGGATTCGTCTCGTCCTCGTTGTCCAATGGATCGAAATGCCATGAACATCATATCCCACATACTCTGTCGTTTGGCGAATTGTTTTCCGGCGGTAATGTACTGCCAAAAGCTGTCTTTTATTTCTCCCACACCCACTTCACTGGTCAATCCGGCAATGGCCTTGGCATCGGACATGCGTGCTTCTCCTTCCTGTCGAATATCTGTCAAGACGCGTTCGGCCTCTTCCATGCGTCGTTTGTTACGTTGACAGAGTCCATCGCAGGAAAAGAACCATCCCTTCGTGGCTTGATACGCATTGCGTGCTTGCCAGTAATCGCTGGTGGCATCGTATTCCGCTTGCAAATCAATGGTGTCCATGATGCGACTGTACTGATTTCGTTGTTGCAGAGTCAGTTGAGTGCCACTGCCGATAAAGAGCATGACCACAAATCCCAAGAGGTATCCTCCCGTGATGAATTTGTGGCGTTGCGCGAATTGCTTGGCGCCTCGGACGATCAATTGACCCACATCGCCAGGTTCAGGGAGACGAGCAATTTGACCTCCGTGTCGTTGTTGTTGGTTCATGATGGTGAGAATGGATAGCTGACGTAATAGATACTAGTACTCAGTAATAGGGATTATAGTTTTATTGTGGGTTGGTTCTCTCGATGTCGTCTGTCAATTGTTACCTTTTCTGTTGAAGCTTTTCGTGGGTTTCCACGCTTCGATCTTCTTCGAAAAGCATCCCAAAACTATGCGTATGCTTAATCGTGTCTGGAGTCCCGTGTCATTGGTTTGAAGCAAAGTGACAGGTGGCGAAACTTGAGAGAGCTATGTACTTCTGTGACCATCATGGCAAACAATCAGCCCCCATTCCTCTAGCTAGAGTGGCTATTAGCAGTAGCAGGATCCAATCATGGGTCGCTTCAACAGAGACTCCTACGACGCGTGATCTCTGGGATCAGTCTGGAAATTGTGGCCATTTGGCCCTAGTCTACTTGACAGCATGGTACGGTATCGGCCGGCCCTCACCCGTCGGACTATGATACCCTCACGCAAGAGAATCGAATCCGTACATTACTATCATCTCACAACTAGATCTTTGATACTCATGTTCCAATACCGCACGAACATTTGTGCAAGAATTGGGACGAGAGAATTGGCAGAGTAGCTACTTGGCGGAGTAGCTACACAACTCATACATGCACAAAATTATTTGCAAACAGCAGCAAATGACGCAAGCTCTAAGCCTTATTACTCCCCACTAGCTAGACAGGTATTGCAGATTACATGAAGCACACCGGCATGGAAACTAGCACAGATTTCCTCCTCATCCAGGACTATTTCAATTAATTAGTCAATTGGACGACCAGTTCCTGGCGGGTCATCCATTGGAGGAGAGGGTCGATCATTGATGTCCTGGATGTCATCGTACTGTGTGGTGGTCAGCTCCAAATCCATACTGGCTGGCATTTCTCCGTCTGTGCCCAACATGGCGTAGGCATATAGTTGTTGCGAGGGATTGGGTCTCCAGAGGTACGCAATCATTCCCAAGATGAGCAAATAAATGGCATCATTCTGTTCTTCTTGCGTCATGATGATTTCCATGGTTGTGGGTGTAAAGAGAATGACAAAGATTTGCGCCACGGCCAGGCATACAGCCAGTAGATAGATCTGCCATATCCATTGGTAGCGTTGCAATTTGAGCGGTTCATTACTGGCCCGCAACAGTGCAATGGTGGTGCGAATGGACATGGGAATCCATATCATGAAAAGTAGATTGAGCGTGAAAAATAGATTCAAGGCCAACCCCAAAAAGATGGATTCGCTCTCGTAGATGATGGCAACGTCGACAATTAATTTGCTGGGTATATAGAGTCCCAGCCACAAGGAGATGTAGGCAAAAGCAGATTGTGTTGCATGTTCCGATGTCACACCAATTCCCATTGCCACCAAGAGATAAACACATCGACTGACTCCATGGGCAATGGATTTGGCAGAGGCTGCAACCAGCTGTAGTACCAGGTAGGGATCATCTCCAAAGGCTTCGCAAGTGTAGAGAACAGTACGTATGGTAATAGAGACGGATGAAAGTGCCAGAGCCATAAAGATCCATTCTTCGACTCTTATCCTTGTGTCAGCATGTTGACTCATCAGGCGTCGATACCATAGGGTGAGTATCACATGTGCTGCTGTTAGAGCAAAATAAATCGGGAGTGTGCTGGCTGAAACAAACGAGACAAACTCAATGTTGCCTGAGATTTTGACTGCTGCCACGCTGGTAGGAAACATTGAGCTCTCGCTGTTGATTGCAGTCACATTGATATCTTCGGTAGCACAATTTCCGAACACTAGTGCCAAATGACCTCCAGTTTCAAAATTCATTTGGTAGACTGATCCAAAGGCCAAATCACCCGATGTCAGATTCGAATCAGGAGGTAATATCTCAAAATGTCGAGTGTGAAAGGACCGTTCTTCATTTCTGCGAGGGTCCAAAATAAGACTTCCCCATTGACTCCAATTCCAATAAAGATCAAAGAAGACGGCTTCATTGTTCTGATCCGTACAAGCCCCAGCATCTTTCGCAGCTTGGGTACAGCATCCATAGTAAAGGCCATCGGTAGCACCAAAAGCTCCAATTCCCAGTTCTTCCACCAAGAACTTTTCTTTGCTGGTTACCGTAACTGTGCCATCGTCATTCACTTGATCTCCAGGCACAACGGTAGCGACGCCAATTATCTTGAGAGTAGGACTAGCGCTGCCATTTTTTGCCTTCCAATCCCATGTCACATTGGCAAAATCCATAAACCCTTCTCCATCAATGGTACCAAAGATGGGACCACCGACAGAACCTACTTGAATGGTTTGGGTTGCCAACGACACTGTATCGTTCCTCTCTGCTTGGACTAGATCTACTACATGTGATCCCCATAGCAGCACACTCAAGAACAATGGCAAGAAACGGCGTGGCACCACCATGGCCTGATAGTGGACAGTAACTAAAGGCTTCCTCTTGTTGGCTTTGAAAGGGTATGGTCACAACAGTGCGCCAAGGAACTTCTTCTTTGCTTTTGTCCGTCGGTCCCTTGGAAAGGACATTGGACATCGGAGGCCACACAAAGATCGCGGTAAGAAAGATAAGCCAGCAAGGTAATCCGGAAAAGCCAGCGACTGGTACCGGAGAGTGCTAGTAGAGATGTACGGTACCGGTAGAATGCTAGACGACCACGTCAATTCAAAATCTTCAAGGCTTCAAATCTATTATTTGTCCGTGACCTTGGGATGAGTGGACGTGCCAAATGGCTTTTCGTGTGTTGAAAATGTTGTGCAGAGGATGGCTGTTCTAAAGGCACATAAAACTATGGGTTCAAGACTCCGTACGTGAGGTATCCCAATGAAGGACATGAGCGAGAAGAGTTCTCGCCAGCCAGAGAATGAGTTTCCATCTTCTCTCCTCATTTGTCCCATCTGGTGCTATGAGCATCTCCTGAGACGATAGCACTCGTGCTTTGATCAAAATGACCTCGTAAAGTTCATTCCAGCCTCCAAGCTTGAGTGGCTTCAGCAAAAAATCCACTTGAGAAGGTAAGAAATTTAATGAACTAAATGACGTTTCTTAGCTAGCAACATAGCTGTGGCACTGCTCTTGGAGTGATTGCTGTGCTGAGTAGTATTTGCAGTTGACGGTTGATGCATTGCTCTTCTTCAAGTCCATCTACAATGCAGCTGGCCAGTTTTCCACCAGGAGATCTATTTTTAAAATTAAGGCCACTTCGTAAACTCTAGAACCTTGAAGAGAATGGGGATTCCCGAAGTCACTTGCCATGCAAACATGCCAATTCCTGCCAAGTTGGCACCAATGTGAATGGTCCGAGCAGTATCACTGCCCTTTTGCATGGCTGGCACGCAAGCTGCAGCCAGAGCCCACAGTACAACCAACCCAGCTCCAGCATAAAGATGGGGCCCCTTTTGGTGTGAGGAAATAAAACGTATTATCAATCAATCACAACCGGTATGATAGACAAAGAGGAAGAGCATGTAAAAATTGATGAGGCAACCTGGCATATATGTGTTCCATACAAGCAAACAGAGGTACTTACAGGGAACAGTTTTCCAGCGCGAGCGTAGGTGTTCAGTGGTCCCTATGAATAGACGTAGAACGAAATGAAAGTGTTGTAAGCAAAAGCAACTGGAAGTACTTTTCCCATATTTCGATTCAGGCATCGATAGCGACCCCTTACTTCAATTGCAAACGCCGTTCCCAAAAAGGCCAAAGTAGCTCCTTGGCTGAAATGTTTGTCACGGTTGTTGCCCTGCGCCAGTTCTTTTCGCTCGGCCGTCAAGGCTGCAATCTCGGCCTGAATGGGCAAGGCATCTTCCAGTTTATTGACCAAGGCAAAATTGACCGTTTCTTCGGATTTGGCCGCGGCAATGGCATCTGTCAAAGATTTGGCTCCACCCAAGTCGGGCAATGTCTTTTTGAGAGCCGAGATTTCATCCCCAAGGGTGCGTTGACGCCGCCAGTTGAATCCCAACAAGGCCGTGGAGACGCTCAAGGCCAACAATCCAGCCATCATGACGGGATGCAGCAAGGATCCCGTGCGTCCTTCAAAGATTCCCCAGTCGGGTCCTGCTGCCGAAGCCATGGTAGCCGTCAATGACCAAAGGGCTGCCGTGGTTGTAGCCACCGAAGGGAACGAGAGCGCATTGTTACTGGAATCTTCGTCGTCGTGGGCAAACAGTGCCGTTGGCTGGGGCATGGTGGAAACGGCGGCATGTGGAGAAGCAAATGCACTCTTGGGCGCCACAAAGGCTTGTGCCAAAGTGCACAGCGAGAGTAGGATCAAGGCAATCTTCATGGTTGAAAAATGTAAAACTTTGGAAAATTATGACTCACTGTAGTGGAGTCTCTAGAAAATTGATCTGATGAGAACGGCAGCAACTGAACCGATTAGCAACTGTACTAGTAGGAACAAGTAAGTCAGTTTCCTGACTGCACAAACGGATCGGAAGGCAAAACGAAGGAAGTGATGGCGATCTTTCTATTGGCTTCCCCACAGCAGATGACTGCCATCATCTTGAAATCAGTTTGGTACGCATTTAGTTACTTCTGGATTGCCGCCAATGACGTGTTGTAAGTCCCGAGTGCTGAGCCATCTTTTGTCCCGAGTTCCGAGGTGCTTCTCTGCGCGCGCCGGCTTTTCCTTTTTTCAAAGATTATTTTTGCCATTTTAGATCTTTCGACGAGACCCAAGCAGCCGGCCAAGGATCCAGCCACAAAATCAATCAGGGGTCAGTTGTTGAGTGTTGTCGTCTTGCCTCGGCAGCTAGCTCTGGAGCCAGACAGACGTGGATATCTATCTTTGACGGTCAGTTGTGTCCTTGCTTCTGCTTTGGACTACTAGAGTGTGTCTGTGACGATCAAGCTGAGACTGTCTAACTAACTGGCTTCAAGAAGTCGGTCAAGTGTAGTGTCGGGCTAGTACTGTAGAGCCGCAACGTTGGGTTGCGCGTTTTCGGTGATTCTGTGGTAGAAAATCCTTATGAGCAATCCAAGCAACGCCAAAAGCAAGCGCAAACGTAAATCGGCAACCAGCAAGAGCAGCAATAACATGTGGAGTTCATCGTCAAAGAAGAAGCGTGGATCTTCGACCACCAGCTCCTCGGGACTGAACACGGACAATGCTGAAAAACTCTTTCAAGAGATTGCTGATGAAGACGATGATCAAGTGGCGGGAATGGAAGGTACGAAACAATCAAAAATAAATCAACAACTTTATCGAAATGACGAGACGAAGATGTGTTGGAAAGAAACGAAATACACTGTTGTGACTTGTGTTTTTGATGGATGGCTCATCACTCACGCATCCAAAATGCCGTCTCTGTGTTGTGTCATTGTCCATTTATTTTTCTGTCTGCATATCTGTCTTCTAGGAATTTCCCAACTGTGCGAAAAATTGGATATTGATCCTCTGGAGGATCTACGCGTCTTGGTCTTGTTGTGGAAAATGGGCGCCAACGAAAAACCGGCTCAGATTTCCAAGCAAGAATGGATGCAAGGGTGTGCCAAATTGAATGTCGATTCCATTGCCAAATTCCAAAACATTCTGCCCTCGTTGGACACGGGCTTTCTAGATCAAACAGAATTCAAAGATTTCTACAAATTCTGCTTTCAATTCAATCGACAAGGGACACACCGTACATTGGACAAGGAATTGGTCGTCGCATTGATCAAAATGGTCTTGAAGGAGCGAATTCCCAAGGACCGATTGGATAGCTTTTGTGACTTTGTCGAATCACAGGAATCCTACACACGAATTACGCTGGATCAGTGGACATCCTTTCTGGACTTTTGCTACGAATGTGAGGACCTGAGTTCTTACGATGAATCTACATCTGCCTGGCCCGTCCTCATTGACGAGTATGTCGAATTTATGGAGGAACGAGCGAAAAACAAGAAGTAGACTAGAAGCAAAATTATTGTTTGCTGGCCGTTTAAACACTTGGATTGTTTGCTTCCCTTATTGGTTGTAACGAACGGTCAGTAGGACAAAAGGATAATAATAGAAATCGCGATTGTGTACAAGTACGCCAGCTTGGGCAAATCTTCACTCAACCTCGGTTCCTGTGCTCAATATCAAATGGAAATGATGCATGCTAGCACATCTGACACAGCACAGAGCAGGATGAACAAATCGCTTTGCTAGGATTACTTCTACAGAGCTTAACTTGGCTAGCTCGGTCTACCTTCCAGATCCCACGTAGCTTGTCGTGTCATGTCATGATCACTTACAACTGCAGTTTATCCTGCTCTGAGCCTGTACAACTGTAGATCTTTGTGATTTGCCATCCATCTTTGTTGGTGCATTGTTTGCCGCGGAAGTGGCTCCTTGCTTCTTTCAGTGTGAATGAATAGCTAGCTAGTCTTTCAATGCCTTGCTGACAAAATCTTCCAACAAATCAATTCCAGTTTTCGTCTCCTTCACTCTCCCATTCCGAAAGACCAAAAACGTCGGCATCATGGCCACCTTGTATTCCGAAGCAATCTCGTCTAGATCGTCCACGTCCACCGTGATAAAGGATGCTGACGTGAATTGTTTTGACAACTGGACATATTCGGGATGGACTTTTTGACATGGTTTGCACCAAGCCGCCGTGAATTTGCAAACCACATAGGGATTTTTCAAAATTTCTCGAAAGGCTTCTTCCGATTCCACCACCGTCACACCGCCAGATCCTCCAGATACCTCCCTGCTGGTTTCGGTGGGAGCGTATTTGGTAGACGATGGAAACAGCTTTTCTTGGACGGATTTTGGTATCAATCCCAATTCAATCGCCTTTTGAAGCAGCCATCGAAGGCCAAGGAACAGCAGAGGCATCACGGCCGTGTATGGGACGCATATTCCTCCAAAACAGATGGTACTCATCGTTGTTTTCTTTTCCTTGGTTGCCAATGAAATAATTATAATCGTGAAAGCTTCTTTTGGGCTTGGCTTTTCGCTTCTGCGCTTCTGGCGGCTTTGACTTCTTCTTTCTTCCACAGCTTTCGCTGGGTTTTGAAGTAAGCCAGCTATACAGGTAATCTTGGTACATCCAGCCAGGGCCAACAAGGTCAGCTCGTGTACGACTGTACGCGACAGAGCCAACCCTCAGAAACAGAGAACGTACCAGTGCAGATTCGATTCTTCCAAAAGTACCAGATAGACTACCTGCCAAGAGGCAGTGAGGAGTGACACAGCCAAGCTCTGTTTGATTCAATGATGCATTTTCACCTACATAGAACCTCATCTAACAGTTTTTCGTTTCCATTGGCAGTACCAACCTCCTAGCTAGTTAACTTATTAGGAATTACAAAGTCCCCGGAGGGGTTAAGTTCTATAATTGGCAGTACCAACCTCCAATTATCCATGCTCTCATGATTTGTGCGGCCGTCAATGACACCAACATCACCCAGAGCAACAGGTGCATGAATGATGCTGGTAGCCCGCTGCTCGATCAAGATGGGTTCCAGATTGGGATTGCAAGTACAGGGAACGGTGGTTGTGGAAGCACTAGTGCCCCAGGACTTTTCTCTCCAGTGGCGTGGGCATCGCCATGGATTCAACAAGTCATATGCGCTCTATCAGCCTCTCCTCCTCCAGCCTGTGGAGTAGTGCGCACTGGCAGTGAACAAGAGCCGCCTTCGAAACCGGCAAGCACAAACCCATTTACTCACTATCAGGGCCAGAGAAGACTTTCTCTATTCTAACAGCGGAAACTCAGGACTGCTCTTTTTATACTAGTTATTTGTAAGCACACGACAGTACTAGAATAAAAGGCAAAGTTTCCTCTTTAGGCTTCTTTTGCTACTCGAGTATTTGGTTTCCCCCAGGAAGAAGAGGACAGGCATGAAGATTGGAAACCAACTCTATCTTCCGCCACGACAACAGACCTGCTAATCTCTGAATTGCCACGTTTATTTTCACCATTTGTCTCATTCGTCTTTCAAGTCCTTGATCCCCTGAAGAAGAGTTGCAGCGTCCTTCTTGGCATCCTCCACAAGCTGAAAGAATTTGACGTTTCCATTGTCCACGAACATGCTAAACCGCTTGGCACGAGTCCCGAGCGAGACAACGTTGCAATCAAATTCCAAGCCATATGCCTTTGCAAACGAACCGTCATCATCAGCAAGAAATTCGATTTTGCTGAAATCATTTCCAAGTGCCTTGCCCCAGGCATGATGGGCGTACGGGTCGCTGACGGCGTAGCAGATCAGCTTGTCGGCTTCTTTCAGAATGGCGTCAGCATTCTCATTGTATCCTGGCCAATGCTCGTTTGTGCAAGTTCCCGTGAAAGGAGCAGGCACTCCAAATACCGCGACTTTCGATCCATCAAAGATTTCCTTCAAAGATACCTCGTTGTCTTTAGCAAGATTGGAGCCCTCCTTGTCGTCCATATACCATGGTCTGGCCTTCTGCAGAGTAATGACACTGCTTATCATGTCTGTCCCGATGGTGATGGACCTCGCTTCTAGCTTTGCTTTCTTTGCTGGAGCTTCCGACATTCTTCTTAAAAAGGTTCCAATTCTTGCACTTCTTTGGAGGAGCATCATGCTGCTACAGTACTGGTCGAACAGCGGGGGTTTTCAGTGGTGCGATATGGCTGTGCAACGATATAAATAAGATAATAACAATATGATACAGTACCGTGTGATAATCTTATTTTATTACCTCACGGGCTAGCTAGTTGCATAAATTCGGGCTTAAACTGAAACCAGAAGCGGATGGAGCATGGGCCCGGGACGACAACAATGCATGATCTGTGTGCAGAGTCGAGGCGAGCAGCGAAGAGGAGTGTGACGGTGACGAGGACTCCAATAGTGAGGCTGAGGAGGAAGACTCGGATGAAGAAGCAAGTAGTGTTGGAGTAGCTTCAAGGATGTCCAACAATGATCAACTATGGACTGCCCAGCAGAGAATCATCAAACGTCAGTAGGAACAGCTACATCACCAAAAAACAATCATTTGCAGTCATAGGAGAACTATCAAGAGGCTGAAGAAGAGAATCAAAAAGCAGCAGAAAACCCCGCATGACCTCCCAAATCAAAATAAATGCTTGGTTTCCACCAAAGGCAAGGCCGCTTCGCCAGAAGTTTCGTCCAGAGTCCAACCAGGTGCCAATCGGTGAAATCCTCTCGGAGCCGACATGTGAAGGATTGATCGTTCGTTCGTCATCTACAACGAGAATGGTGAGGTTTTCTGGGGGGCCGGCTCCGTGGTCTCCGCTAACCCGCTCACGTCAAGATACAGGGTCACACACGGCATCGGCACCAAGAGAGCAGCGTCGGCCGTGTTGTTGCCGCGTTTCGTTTTATTTTATTATGGAAGGCACTTATTACGGCATAGAAACCACTCATCCTGGATCAGCACATAACCACATCTCAGCACCATTACAATACGTCAAGGAACGATGTATCTGCCGTCTTTGGCCCCCATTGCAAACTTCACAATATCGTGGTTGGAAAATTTGGCTAGGCCAAGGGCAACCGCCACCTCCCTCTCCTCTTTCAAGAACCAAGGAACGAACTTGGAGGCCTCCTTTTTGTTCTGCTTGATTGCCGCCAACGCCATCGCTTTTGTCCTTGCTGCTCGGGGTACGAACTGGAGCGCTTGTCCAGCCGAGGTCACCGCCGCCAGCGCCACCTCTTCATCCACCTGCAACTCGCGAGAGGCAACCCGGAGGACCGTGCCATCTTTTCTCGCCGCCTCCATCACCAAATCTTTGTCCTTCCGGAATCTCAATGCCGCAGCAGACAGAGCCGCAGGGTAATTGTGTATTGCGGTCATGACGACCGCTTCGTCACCCTTGAACTTATCAGGGACGCTCCATAGCGCCTGCCCCCGCCTCTTCACCAACTCCAGCACTACTCCGCGGTCATTGCGGAGATGTGGCGCCACAAACTTGAGAAACTGCTTTGCGCCAGGGACAGTTTCATCCTTCAGGTTCCGTACCGCCGTGAGGATCAATTCTCTGTCAGTCTCCACGCCATCCGTGATGCCAGCAAGCACATCGCCATTCGACGAAAGAGCGGCCATTCGTAAGCTACGGTCTCGCTTCAATTCGTCGGAAGCAAAAGAGAGGGAGACAGGGTTTCGCTGGATCGCATTGACGACCACTTGGCGGTTGGATTTCAAGGAGTCGTCGGCATAACGGAAAGCTTCACCGTAGGTTTCTATTGCAGAAAGAACAATCTCGGGGTCTTTCCGGAATGCTGAAGAAGCAAACCGAAGGGATTCCCCAGCACCACGAACGGCCGCCAAGACAATTGAGCGATTGTTCCGCATGGCCTCTGGAACATAAGTATCGAAAAACAAGCTCCTTTTGTTTGCCCCGTCTTGCATGGCAGCAATCAGCACTTCTTCATCGTGCTTCAAATCTTCCGAAACGTAGTGCAACGCACAGGCATTGCTCTTGACCGCGGCTAGCGCGATTTCTCTGTTGCATCTCAGTTTGGGAGAAGCAATTTCAAGAGTCAAACCATCTTTTTCGACGCATTCCAGCATGAACCTCTGGTCAGCTTTGATCCCGCCGGACGCATGTCTTAGAGCAAAATACAAACTTCCCGTGGATCTCGCCAATGCAGTCATAACCAGTCGGACATCGCCGCGTAGTCGAAGAGACGCGTGTTCTAGCGATGATGGCGAAGAAGCGACAGCAACCTCCACCAAGTCAAAATCATCGCGAAGTCGGGCCGAAGCAAACTGGAGGCACGATGACGTGCGAAGGGCCGTGAGAACTACCTCTCGGTCATCCCTCATCTCGTCGGGTGCTTCCCGGAGCGCATAACCGTACTTCTGAACAGCTGCGAGATTTAGCCTTCGGTCCGCTTTGAGGTTCGCGGACATGAAGGAAAGCGGCCGGGAGTGAACATTGGCCGTGCGGATCGCGGCAAAGGCGAATTGAGGATCCTGTCTGAGGGTGTCGGATGCATACTTAAGTATACGAGTGGTGTTTGAAGAGTCGGCCTCCAACATTCTGAGGGAATCGAGAATGAATTCCCTGTCGGACTTGAAACTTTCAGGGATCTCTTTGAAGATCCGATCCATCCAGCACGACACATTCTGTACGGCCACAAGAACAACTCCACGATCCGCCTTGCAGCTCTCTGCGGCGTATTGTAGTGACAAAGGCGAGAACTCTACCGCAGTCTTCGCCACGTCTATGTCTGCTTTGAGCCTTTCGCTGGCGTGTTGAAGAGCATCATGGCGCCTGCTAACAGCCACCAACACAATAGGTTTGTTGTCCCGAAAATGAAGAGGGAGTTGCTGGAATACATCACCATTACTAGCCGCATTCAGCGCGACTTCGAAGTCCGCCTTCAATTCTCCAGAAGCCCACTGAATTTCTTCTCCGTGGACGCTGACGGCGCTGAGCACAAGGCCCCGATCGGCCCTGAGGTCTTGGGAAGCATGGGTCAGAACACTGGTAAATGGTTTGCGACTCCATGCCTCTGTTTTGTGATTTTCCAGGGCCACAAGAACGACTTCGCGGTCCGACTTGAGCCTGCAACTGGCCCACCGGAGCGCTATGCCCGTTTGTTCAACAGCAGCCAAGACAATCTGCTTGTTGTCTCGAAGCTCAGGAGATGCAAACCTTAATGCTGTTCCGCAGTTCTGCACCGCAGCCATTACGACTTCCTCGTCGTCCCTCAGGGCCGAAAACTGCAAGGCCTCGCCCGAAGATCGGACAGCAGCCAGGCAAACCATCCGGTCCCTTCGGGGTGCCTCTCCGGCATTGCGCAGGGAGCCCCCTTCCTTCTGAACACCCGCAACGGCTACATCCCGGTCATTGCGAAGGGCAGACGAAATAGCACTCGGTAATTCTTCCAATAGGCTGACCACCCGTAACACAAAAGGCTTGTCATTGAGAAGCCTCTTTGAAATGCAATTAAGGAGGCCCGCAGCGGGGGCACTCTTGTAGTGCGCTTTGTTCATTGCGACACCAGCTTGCAATGCCGCCAGCACGACATTTTCGCTATCTCTCATCCCAGAGCTGGCCATTGCGAGAGCCCTTGCTCCGCCAGGCGCCGTGATAGCCGTCATCACCATCTCCAAGTTATTTTCCAGCTCTGTTCCTTTAATTCTCTTCATGGCATCTTGCGGGCGTCGTTGGGCCAGCGCCAGAAGCACAATCCTATCTTGCATAGCCCTCTTGGAGGCGTACACAGTTGCATCGGCTCCCTGGGCTCGAGCCCTGTCATAATATTTATCATGCTGGAGCACAGCAGCCTCCACAATATGTCGGTTGTCTTGCAATGATGGGCTGGCAAACCGAAGAGCACCTCCATATTGTTTTACTGAAGCCAGGACAACATCATAGTCGTCCTGTAGATTCGGTGCAGCATGTTGAAGTGCCCTCCCGTCCTTCTGACAGGCCTTGAGCACGTCAGCTTTGACATTGGGGCTCAAGCCACGATAGAACTCACGGAAGGTCGGGCTGTTCGCATCGCACATTGATTTAATCATTAGCAACATTGCAAAAGATTGCCTCAATTTAGCTTAAAAACTCACCAGTATCCAGCGCACCACTTGCACATTGTCCGTTCGACTTTGTTTGTTGTTGTTCCTAAATAGATAATGTTGTTGTTGTGAGAACAACCTCGGGACATCGGGGATGCAGCAGACGTGGGTGCGGTTGCCGAGTGGGTTCGTCCAATGACGAAGAAATGCAGTCGTGGATACCGAATCGAATCCTTGCATTTTTTGGTACCGGTTGCATCTTTCTGGCAATCAATCCAAATGGAGACGAAGCCATCGACCCCGGAACCCATCTTGGCGATTTGTTGTCTGCGCTCGAAGCATCGACACGAGGATCTGAGAGTGCCATGGTCTTCAGCAGGATACCGGTACCAGGTACCAGAAGTGAGCAGAGAGCAGCTGCACGGAAATCGCACGCCCGCAATCTAGAACCGCACGATGTGAGGACCAGGTATGAGAGGCTGGTGCTTACTCCCGTTGGTTTCCCCGAAAGAGGACGCTGTTAGCTAGCCAGCTAAAGAGGTCAATGAAACAAGTCTGCTAGATAGATATTAGTACCGGCACGTCGCACGTGAAGATGTGCATCCCAATGGGGTTACCGACCATGCCCAAGCCTACCGTACCGCTACCCTTCATGGGGCTTCCCTGACGGCATGCCCAAGCCCGAAAGGTGCGCTAAAGTTTCAGGCTTGGCTGCCCTGTCAGGCCTAATGAATAGAGAACTCTGTAGCAACAGAGTACGTTTTATGCAACGATAGTACGCTGGAGACGAAACATGCTTTCTTCGTTGGCTGTCCCATCCGTCGATTGACAATCACATATAAGGTAGGTATAGGCACTTCATCATTGCAGGTTTCCAAGCAAGGGGACATTCACTCGAGCGCAAGAACACACTAAAATCAAGCGGATTGTTTCGATTTTGTGCTCACTGATCTGGAAGCAGCACTGGAATTGCTGGAATTTAATCCGTTCAGAAAGTTGCCAATCAGCTTCTGGGTTTCCAAAAGCTTTTCGTATCCCTCTGCTTCCCTCTGTAGCATCTTTACCTGAGTATTCAACAAGGCATGATCGATTCCGTACGCCCGAAGTTGCACATCTCGGCTATCACCTATGGTACTATCCACCAGATACAAAGCCTTTAACGACGGTTTGACCTTTTTGTCATTGTCTGCGCTTGACGCTTCATGAGCGGCGCTATCATCCTCTTCTTTTGCCTTCTCGGCTAGCCTTTCCAACGAAGATAAAAAGTTGTCGCAAGGAAGCACCTGGGAGAGAAGATGTTCCGCGACTGCAATACTATCCCGTTGTCTCTGGAGGTTTTCATGTGTTTCTCTCTGTTTGTTCCTAGCTTCATTCAACTCCTTCTCGAAGCCTTGTTCCATGACTCCGATACTCTTTTCGAAGAACCCCAGTTGCGTCAGGAGCTCGTTGGCTGCCTCCATTTGAGTCTTTCGCACCTCCTTTGCTAGTTTCTGCATGTTCCTGATATTCTTCTCTCTCTTCCCCTCGGGCACCAACTCGGGATGATCTTTCATGAATTTCTTCCATGCGACTTCGAACTCATGCATCGTGTCCTTCGAGTCGGGGTCCAGCTCGAAGTCCAAGTCACCCGGGGTGATCCCGGCAGACATAAGCTCGTACATTGGTGAAAGAGCATTGAGCGCCATGTTCAAGTGGAATAGTGGTGTATGCAAGGACAACAACAACGACGATGAGAGAAGATGGTCTGGGCGAAGAGTGTTGAACTGGTGCTTGATCATGATCAAAGCGGCGTTTTTGAGGTCGGAGGCAAGCCCACGCAACTTGGCGAGTGGGATCGACGCGCGCGTCTAAGAAAAACCGTTTGATGGCGATGGTTTCCTACGGTACGGTAGGCCAGCTGAGTTGTAAACGCCAATTGGCTGCAACCTAAGGTTAGCAGTCCCCCGCTGTGGAGTAGTTTGTTGAAGGAGCGTGCAATTAGCTGAGAACCTGGGCCTTGGCTCATGGGTCAAGCACTGCTCATCTGAATCCGTTTCAACTGGACTTATTAGTAGAGTTGTTTTTTAGCTAGCAGCTATTGGCAGTAGCTACACAAAGGTCGCCAACCACATGTATGACACAAAAGGACCGTAGCATTACCGGTGCATATTACGTGGTTACTGTAGAGTAGTACGGTAGGATTCAATATCTTTTAAACTAACTTCTTTCAAAACGAAACGCCGAGCTTCTTTTGGTATCGGGTCTTCAATTTCTTTAGTTTCTTGGCATCCATTTGAAGCAAAGCCGAATCTACCCACTCTTGATTCTTAGCTTCAGCCTTCAGAGCCTCTATCTTCTCCTTCAAGACCTTGACTTCGGAACTCAAAAACGCGTTGTCAACCTGGAATTGTTGGAGCTCCCTTTTCTGCTCGGATCCAAAGGTGTCGCTTGGCGGTTCCCTCATTGCCTTCTTCAGCTCGTCCATGACTGGTCCATCTGGCATGGCTGCCAAGAGATCGTCTTTGCTGCCAATGTCCTTCTTCTCGATTTCTGCCTTGATTTTGTTGAGCTTAATTGCTCGCTTGATGGAAAGCTGTAGCATGTCCCATGTCAGCGTTCCCTCCATAATTTTGCTTTGCTTCTTGTTATGATTCAAATCAGCTCTCAACTGGATGCTTCGCTCAGCTTTCTGTCGGGAAGCTTCCTTCAACTTGCTTTGGAACTCGGCCTCGAGATTAGTCTTTGTTTCGCTCGGACTTTCCAGCTGCGTTTCCAAGTCGCATTCTGTCTTATAAGAGACCTCCAAGATTCTCTGAAGCTTTGCCACTTTCAAGTTCTGAATGAGCTGCGAGTTTCTATCAAAGAGAGCAGGATACTTATCCAGGAACGCGTTAAATGCTTTGTCGTACTTGGCGACAAAGTCCAAGTCAATCTCCTCGTCCATTGAAGAAAGGGCTTCTGGCAGACCTTCGGGAAGGGCCTCCAATTCCTCCTCTTGTTTTTCTCTGTTCTTGCCATCGTTGATGGAAGACACCGTCGTGTGGTCTAGCTCAGTTCTGATGCTTGCTGAGATCGTCGTCAAATCGTTTTCTTCGAAGGGACCAGGTCGGTCTTTGTGGATTTGGCACTGGGACGGCACATCCTCGAACTCTGGGACCGATCCTTCCATCTCTCCGGTCGCCGTTCCTGTGGATTCTTCTTCTTCTCCTTTGACGGGCATTTCAGCATGCCCCGCATACTTTTCCTCAAGAGTTCTGAATTCTTTCGCTGCGGCGTTCTCTTGGTTTGCTGGTGCATCCAAGCCCAGTTGGTCCACAAACTTCTTAAATTTTCCTGATTCCTTCCCTTGCGACTTCTTGCTACTCATCCCCTCCTCTTCGTCGTTATTTTGGGATCGCTTAGACGGAGAAAGAGGCATGACCTTTGCCCTGGCCTTTTCGAGACGTTGTCTACGCGTTTTTTCGTGTCTGCTTGACTCAGCGCTTGACATCTTGCTGTTCGCATCTCGCGAGTGCTTAGAATTGACGGGTGACTTTTTTATCTCCGGCAGCGACCAGTCTGGTGGGGAGGCAGACTGCTGGAGAGTTTGAAATGTCTCGTTGGCATCTCGTGGAGAACTCCGCGTCTTCTCTCCTTGAAGTTGCTGGAGCTTCTCTTTTTGAATACGCAACTGTTCGAGCTGTTTCTGGAGCTTTTCTTCCTGTAGCTGCTGCTGTTGTAAGAGTTCCTCTAGTTTCTTGTCCGCAGGGCTGGCTGGTGCGTCCGCAGCCTCCTCGTCGTCAGCTGCTTCCGAATCGTCCAGTGGCGGTGTCGACATCTGTTCAAAGCTACCAACAGCGGCTTCCTTTATCTTCTTGAGGTTGCGTTCATTCTCTTGCCTTTTCGCAGCCGGATTATTTGGAACTGGATCTTCGATGGGTGTCGCTTGAGTCTTTGTCAGCGTGGAAAAGCTGTCGCCGTGCAAGGACTCAGAGTCGGTGTCTTCGAGGAGAGGATGAACCTCTGGATCCTCGATTGAAGGCGCAACACTTTTGATTCTTGACGATGTCCCCTGTTCACTTTCTGTTGCCAACATCAACTTGCTTTGCCTCATCTCTTCTTCTGTCAAGCCGTAGTGGAAAGGGGACTCCCTCTCACTCGCCCCGTAACGACGTTCGGAAGTAGTGGACTCTTCTTCTCGAGGTTCTTCTCCTTCTTCCTCGCTTCCATTATAGGCCATATCTGTCTCGGCAGGGCGAATATCCGTCACCGATGCAATGCCGTCATGCCCCGACATCGCAGAGCCTCTCTCGACTGACGAGTCTTGGTGATGGGCGGGTTGACGAGAGTGGCGGTGGCTATGGTTGCTGTTCTTGCTGTTGTGATTGTTGTAGCTGTTGTGGCTATTGTAATGGCTTCGGCGCCCACCATGATAATCATCATAACGGTATTCGTACCCTTCATATTCTCTGTACGTTCCACTGTCTTCTTGGTAGGTGCCAGCGCCTCGATAATTTCCGTCCAAATACGCATCACCGCCCCCATACGTACCACCATCTTGGTAAGTCTCATTCTCATCGCGGCAATCGTTGCGCATGCGATAGCCATGATGATAGGCAGAGGAACCATCCGTTCGGGATCCCTTGACGACATCGTATCGTTTACGAGGGTGACTGCTGGAATCAGACGGATTCAGGTACTGGTTGTCATAGCGAGTTGGCGATCGTGATCGACTAGGGTCAGTGCCATCCGTATACTTGCTATGATAAAGAGTAGAGGGTCGGCTTGCAACCGTCTCGTCCAAGTACTTGCTTTCATATCGATTGGGTGATCTAACATTTGATCTTGATCGATCTTGATGCAAATGTCGGCTGTTCCTACTTGGATTGCCTCGTATACCTATTCGACTGCTACTCGACTTGCTGCTAGTGGCACTGCGGTTGCGATGCAGACGGCCACCACCACTGTCCCTTTCGTCACTCACTGTGAGTTGTTGTCTCGTAGCAACACTTGCCGTGTTGTCATCGGTGGTCGTTCTCGACTCTGAGGTCATTCCAACAGAATACGACTCGACCGCGGAGATCTCCGCGATGGTCAGCCCATCACCAGCATGGAGTGCATTTCCCATCTTGACGGCCGATGGTAACCTTCATAAAAGGTACAGACCCTTACAAACGTCGTTTCAGCCGAGTCCCTTTCCTGCAGCGTGTTGAAGCAATGCTTTGAACGAAAAGACCAACCGTTGTTTTCGTCCTCACTTGCACTGCGCTTCTAAAAAACCGCCGGATTGCAACTAACGCACCCCCACTGCCACTCCATCACGTGGCTAAAGGTTTGGCGATTGTTGGAAACGATTATGTCTAACTAACTCACACGGGATGGTCTTGCAGCGAGACCATGCGTTTGGTACTTAGCTGGGAGTATTACTTGGCTGGCAACATAGAATCGCAGAACAGGCGACCATGCATATGGTACCATGGCGTGTCTGCTGAAAGGTGACTCAACCGTACCGTATGGTATTCAACTGTGACTGGGGCGAGTCACTGGACTCGACTGAGTCACTCCGGGATGATCAATCGACTCACTCGACTGGTTACCCTCCACTTTCACACCTCCCTCTGTTTCCACGGAGGCCTGCTCCAACTCGACTCCAGAGACTGAGTTTATGGGGGGGTTAGGCATGAGCGCGGGGGAGGGAAAAAGAAGAAGAAGAGGGAGAGGGTTATCGGTTGAGTTCCAGATTCCGGTTGGAGAGCAGGCAGGGCTAAAGATCTGGTCACGAAAAGAGAGATGCTCATCAAATAAAGTCATACGAATATATACTGGTATGTCTGATGCTAGCAAGAAGCTTTCTACTGCCGCCACCGATCCTCTTGGAGCTGACAAACTGGGGCCCCATTTGAAGAAGAGTGAAGCTAACCCCAGCTGCAGTTTGGGATGCTGCTACTTATATTGCGTCGAACACTCGCTCAGACATCACATGTAGTGTGACCAGGTGGCACGATCAAGTCACAATCCCAGGCATTCCCATGCTCAAGCAATCAATCGTATCATTCGGTATCTGCTTGGCACAAGTGACAAAGGAATTTGTTTAAGCCCTAAACTTGATCAGGGACTCGATTGTTGGGTCGATGCTAACTTCGCCGGATTGTATGGATTTGAGGATGATCAGGATCCCGTGTCCGTCAAGTCTCGCAATGGATTTGTCTTGACTTTGTTTGGGTCCCCTATCATCTGGTCCAGCAAGTTACAGACTGACATTACTTGAGCTCCAACTGCTGCTGAGTATGTTGCCTTCAGCATGTCCATGAGTGAGCTGCTTCCTATGCGAACTTTGCTCAAAGAAATTGGTAGCAAACTGAATATGCCGGTATTTACTGACAGTCTCGTGCGTCCTACAGTGTTCGAAGACAACCAAAGTTGCTTGTCTCTTGTGAATGTTCCCCAAATGTCTGCGCGAAACAAGTATTTGGCATTGAAGTACCACTCTTCAGGTCCAATATCGGGGAGTCGAAGGGCATCGTGGCCAGGTAAAATATTCCGACTCCTGAACAACGGGCCGACATTTCACTAAGGGATCTTACCGGCTCCACAGTTTGCTGTCATTCGTAAGCTCCTCATGGGATTGTAATTTTCCTCAGCACTTTGCTGGGACTCTCTCCTATCGTATCTTGCTACAGCTTCATTTCAGCTATAAGGGAGTGCGACGGGATACAGCTTACAATTCAGCTTTACAGCTTATTGCAACGTACAGAGCTCTACTATCTAGAAAATAATCAATAACGTTGCTTACCACTTATTACGAAATATCCAAACCTTTACATCTCTTAGATCCTTAGTATTAATCACATGCACAATGGTAATGTCGCAACCCCACCGAATGGTTGCTGTCACAAATACTGACCATTGTTGACACATCCAGCGCGAAGGAGAGACGTCGTGCACTACGCACTGATACGGGAAGTCATGGGGATGCCATTCCGATCCATGGTTTAATTCGAGATGTATACTCGAGCCTACATTATAAGAACAAAAATTAAAACCCTGCTAGATTTAAAGATGAAAAGGGGGAAAACCTCTTTTCTAATGTAGACATTAGTAACTTACATTCAAAGTCACTTGTTGGTTGTTGCCAACAATAACATGGACCAGTAGATTGGGTCTCAGGGCCTTGCCATGAATGCACTCGCACAGGTTCTTCCAGTGCAAACATCACAAACTCCATGACTATCATCATAGGATCAATATTCCTTCGAAGGGCAAAATTATGTGGTGTGGTGACGTTACACTCCTGGCATCGGGGCCAGATACCACCAGCCAAGCATCCATGCAAATCTGACCGTTTCAATTGGTAGCCCAGATGGTCAGTTATCTCGGCTCAGTGATCTCTAGCACTTTGCTAACACATATAGATGGCGAGCTCCCATCACTGACCAAAGATGGTCCTTCCTTCTCAGTGGAGCGTGGTGGCCACTCCAGCATTTCAGAAAGGGTAGGACGTAACACAGCAACGGTAGGCCCCGCATGGAAACTGTTGAAGGTGGACTAATCCTGGCGTCCACATTCAATTGATCATGCTAGTCCGCTGATTATGGCCCGTGAGTCATATCCAATGATCAGGAGGAGACCAGGGCTTGCATGCTCCTTGCAATTATCAACTCCTCAAGAAACGTCACTTCCATGCTTGTTGTTGGCAAACAGAAGTTATCCTCCTCTGTCGCTGTTGTACCCACAAATGTAAATACTTGCAGGTGAATCACATGCCTTGTTGCCCTCAGCTCATTGAATGTGTATCGTTGACACTTTGTCAGCCAACTTGGAGAAGGCGGAGAAGTAGTTGCGATCCTGCATGTCGGTAGAGGAAGGGTCGGTAGGGTATCGGTAAGAGGACAGTTTGTCGTCCGTAGAGGAGGAGCGTCCGTAGAGGAGTGTAGGAGAGTGTCTCCGTAGAGGAAGGAGTCGGAGGCGAGCGTCGGTAGAGGAAGGAGCTTCGGTAGAGGAAGGAGCGATCGGTAGTGGAAGGATAGAAAGATTAGTAGCATGCCATGGTCACCATTGTGGCAACTAAGCAACAACAACAACAAACAACAACAACAACACACAACAACAACAACACAACAACAACACACACAACAACAACACAACACAACAACAACACAACACAACAACAACAACAAACAACAACAACAAACAAACAACACAACAACAACAACAACAACAACAACAACACAACAACAACAACAACAACAACAACAACAACAACAACAACAACACAACAACAACACAACAACAACAACAACACAACAACCAACAACAACACAACAACAACAACAACAACAACAACAACAACAACAACAACAACAACAACAACAACAACAACAACAACAACAACAAACAACAACAACAACAACAACAACAACAACAAACAACAACAACAACAACAAAACACTCACCAGCAACTGGTCCACCACGATCAATCTGGTGAGTTTTGAAAATAATGGGAGGTTTTTTTCGAGCGAAGGATTGGGAAAGAGTCTGTCGGAATATCCGTTGGATCAATTTGAATTTGATCAACGAACCTCTCTGGTGACGTATTTGCTGACATATACATGTTCTTCGGATGTAGGAGATTTAACGGAGGAGGGGCCGATGAACCAGGTCATTGCCGTTTCCCCTCTTTCTGGTGCATTACTGGCATCTTCGTGACCAGATCTTTAGCCCTGCCTGCTCTCCAACCGGGAATACTGGAACTCAACACGATAACCCTCTCCCTTTTCTTTTCCTTCTTCTTTTGCCCTCACCCGCGCTCATGCCTAACCCCCCCATAAACTCAGTCTCTGGAGTCGAGTTGGAGCAGGCCTCCGTGGAAACAGAGGGAGGTGTGAAAGTGGAGGGTAACCAGTCGAGTGAGTCGATTGATCATTCCGGAGGACTCAGTCGAGTCCAAGTTGACTCCGCCCCAGTCACAGTTGAATACCATACGGTACGGTTGAGTCACCTTTCAGCAGACACGCCATGGTACCATATGCATGGTCGCCTGTTCTGCGATTCTATGTTGCCAGCCAAGTAATACTCCCAGCTAAGTACCAAACGCATGGTCTCGCTGCAAGACCATCCCGTGTGAGTTAGTTAGACATAATCGTTTCCAACAATCGCCAAACCTTTAGCCACGTGATGGAGTGGCAGTGGGGGTGCGTTAGTTGCAATCCGGCGGTTTTTTAGAAGCGCAGTGCAAGTGAGGACGAAAACAACGGTTGGTCTTTTCGTTCAAAGCATTGCTTCAACACGCTGCAGGAAAGGGACTCGGCTGAAACGACGTTTGTAAGGGTCTGTACCTTTTATGAAGGTTACCATCGGCCGTCAAGATGGGAAATGCACTCCATGCTGGTGATGGGCTGACCATCGCGGAGATCTCCGCGGTCGAGTCGTATTCTGTTGGAATGACCTCAGAGTCGAGAACGACCACCGATGACAACACGGCAAGTGTTGCTACGAGACAACAACTCACAGTGAGTGACGAAAGGGACAGTGGTGGTGGCCGTCTGCATCGCAACCGCAGTGCCACTAGCAGCAAGTCGAGTAGCAGTCGAATAGGTATACGAGGCAATCCAAGTAGGAACAGCCGACATTTGCATCAAGATCGATCAAGATCAAATGTTAGATCACCCAATCGATATGAAAGCAAGTACTTGGACGAGACGGTTGCAAGCCGACCCTCTACTCTTTATCATAGCAAGTATACGGATGGCACTGACCCTAGTCGATCACGATCGCCAACTCGCTATGACAACCAGTACCTGAATCCGTCTGATTCCAGCAGTCACCCTCGTAAACGATACGATGTCGTCAAGGGATCCCGAACGGATGGTTCCTCTGCCTATCATCATGGCTATCGCATGCGCAACGATTGCCGCGATGAGAATGAGACTTACCAAGATGGTGGTACGTATGGGGGCGGTGATGCGTATTTGGACGGAAATTATCGAGGCGCTGGCACCTACCAAGAAGACAGTGGAACGTACAGAGAATATGAAGGGTACGAATACCGTTATGATGATTATCATGGTGGGCGCCGAAGCCATTACAATAGCCACAACAGCTACAACAATCACAAACAGCAAGAAACAGCAAACCAATAAGCCACCGCCACTCTCGTCAACCCGCCCATCACCAAGACTCGTCAGTCGAGAGAGGCTCTGCGATGTCGGGGCATGACGGCATTGCATCGGTGACGGATATTCGCCCTGCCGAGACAGATATGGCGCTAATAATAGGAAGCGAGGAAAGAAGGAAGAAGAACCTCGAGAAGAAGAGTCCACTACTTCCGAACGTCGTTACGGGGCGAGTGAGAGGGAGTCCCCTTTCCACTACGGCTTGACAGAAGAAGAGATGAGGCAAAGCAAGTTGATGTTGGCAACAGAAAGTGAACAGGGGACATCGTCAAGAATCAAAAGTGTTGCGCCTTCAATCGAGGATCCAGAGGTTCATCCTCTCCTCGAAGACACCGACTCTGAGTCCTTGCACGGCGACAGCTTTTCCACGCTGACAAAGACTCAAGCGACACCCATCGAAGATCCAGTTCCAAATAATCCGGCTGCGAAAAGGCAAGAGAATGAACGCAACCTCAAGAAGATAAAGGAAGCCGCTGTTGGTAGCTTTGAACAGATGTCGACACCGCCACTGGACGATTCGGAAGCAGCTGACGACGAGGAGGCTGCGGACGCACCAGCCAGCCCTGCGGACAAGAAACTAGAGGAACTCTTACAACAGCAGCAGCTACAGAAGAAAAGCTCAGAAAACAGCTTCGAACAGTTGCGTAATTCAAAAAAGAAGCTCCAGAAACTTCAAGAGAAAGACGCGGAGTCCCAACGAGATGCCAACGAAACATTTCAAACTCTCCACAGTTCTACCCTCCCACCAAGACTGGTC